AACAGAAATTTGAGGCTCCATCGTGGTTTCAAGTCGAGAATGCAGAGGTTGGGTTTTTTGTTTTTTTTTGTCCTGCCTATCTGTCTCCAGGAGGGAAGATGAACTGAGCCTGCATTGGAAAGGGAGGGAGGCCTTCACCTGTGGCCTTTGTCATCGATAGTGCAGGCAGAGAGGATGCCTGGAAGCATTTCCCATGTTTGTGGAGCCTTTTGCCATGTCCTTCGAACACTGAGCTTTCCGGACAGTTTTCATTTAGCCCGATAGCCCCCGGTACTTCCTTCGTACTTGGTTTTGGAAGTCATAGTTTTGATTGCTGTTTTCCTCATTAACGTTAAGGGCATTCTTGCTGTACTATATTCTGTTGTGTTCCAAAACAATCCACTTGTCTTTCTGCATGGCTTATCTCTTGACAGAAAGACGTGTAAAATATTGTTCTTGATTTCTTTCTGTTCTGATGGTCTACAAAGTAATAGGCTTGATCTGGAAGGACCCTGACGATTTCAAGCTGTAGTTGTTTAGCCCTATAGAAAAATAGCTAAGCTGGGTAAAATTTCTCTGGTTTTGTTAAGATTAAAATTAGGATAATGAACAAAAAAGACAGGAAATAAAAAAACCCCAAAATGTATAATAATTCAGATCAATACATAATTTTATTTTTCAATAAAATAATTTTAAAAGAGTAAAGTTAGGAGGTATTTTCTGGGGCCCGGAAGATATTTTGGATTACTTATCTACTTGAATACAGTGCTGTCCTCATACAATTCCTTGGATATATTTAGGAAATGGTCTAACTCAGTGATCCCCAACCTTTTTTACGCCGCGGCCCGGTACCGGCATCAGCTGGGCGCCGCGGCCCGGTACCAGCATCAGCTGGGCACCGCCATCTTTTTTTGATGAAAAAGTGCTTCCGGTGAGCTTTCTACCCGGAAAAGCTCACCGGAAGCGCTGGCGCCGCCATCTTTTTTTGATGAAAACGTGCTTCCGGTGAGCTTTCTACCCGGAAAAGCTCACCGGAAGCACTTTTTCATCAAAAAAAGATGGCGGCGCCCAGCAAACCAGCGGCCCGGTAGGACTTGTTCCGCGGACCGGTACCGGTCCGCGGACCGGTGGTTGGGGACCCCTGGTCTAACTGAAATGTCTATTTTTTTATCTGGAAGCTTGTTTTTTTTTCTTTTGTTGTTCCTGAGTGACTAAAAGTTGGAGGTCATTTTCCCCCCCTGTAATAATATTTTAAGTGGGAGAAGAGCCATAATGCTTTCTGTTTGCAACTTAGTTTGGCAAATGTGGGCAGAAAACTTCCTTTTGAGCACGAGGGGAAATGTTTTGCATGATCTCCGAGACCCCAAATTTCAGTCAGTAGTGGAAAGGCTATTCTATTAAGTTTCTACATTTGGGGCTCCAGAATTATTAAAAAGTATTTGCAGTTACTACCTATTTTGTTCTTAAAGCTTTACTGGTTAGAATATCTGAGAGTAAAGGATACACCAAATGAATATGTAATCTTATTGAGGATCTGTTTGTGTTTGATGCCCAGTGCTTCGCTCTGTAACAGTAGTTTTTATGGAGAATATATTTATTCTGATGTGTGTGTGTCAGCCTTCCTCAACAAGTTCCCCTCTTCCAAAAGTTTTAGGATTAGGAGCCTATCATTCCTGTCCATCAGGACTGTTGGCACCAAACTGATGTTCCTGGACATGGTCTCCAGAATATCTGTGGGGGTAATAGGTTAGGGAAGGCTGTAAACATGCCACAATTGTATCCGCATAGAGTTTTGGGTGAGTTTTGCTTTAGTTCCTTTTCTTGCTCATATTTCTTGAAGCATCTTGCTGACAATCTCAGGCTGCCTGCAGGAAGGGGTTTTATGATAAATGTATACACCACACGATTGCTGTGTTTTGACTCATAATTCTTGGGCCTCTGTTACCACCAAGCCAATCGGTTCCTTTTTCTTCTTCTTCAGGTCTCTGCCCTGGATCAGGAGATCATTGAAGTGGATCCAGATACCAAGGAAATGTTGAAGTTGCTGGTGAGTAGGGCATTGGCATGGCTGCCCACAGGATTGCTTTTCTATAACCAAGTGGCTGGATTAAGGGTCTGAAAGTTAAGCTAAAATAAAATAGCCAGGAGAATCAGTGTGGGTTGGTTAGGGACACCAGGGTGTAAGCTGGGAGACTGAGTTCTAGTTCTACCTTGGCATGAAGCCAGCTGGGTAACTTCAGGCCAGCTCCTCCCTTGACACTTAGGGAGAAGGAAATGGCAAACCCCTTCCGAAAATGTTACCCATAAAACTGCATGAACTTATCCCAGGCAGTCATGAAGATGCCCTCCGCCCCATCCTTCCAAAAAAAAAATCACCCCACTTGGTAATAGTTCTGAAAGGTTTTGTGGGGTGGGGGGAGCAGGCAATATTATTATATAGTATGGTGTTTAAAAGCCAGGCAGATTATAGGGGATAAAGCTAACATAACTTGGCAAATCACTAGAATACCTGGGGGAATGCATGATGATTGCAACTTATTTTCGCCCACCAAGGAAATTGATCCTCAAAGATCACCCAACTGGTTTCAAGTAGATAATTTAGCCTGAGTGAAAAGATACCTTTTTCAGCTCTTGCCCAGGGATCTACTTAAGTCTTGGATCTCTCTTCTATTCGCAGGACTTTGGCAGCCTGTCCAACCTGCAGGTCACACAGCCAACCGTAGGGATGAACTTCAAAACTCCAAGAGGTGCCATCTAAAGCCATTTCCGCATTGTCACTTTTACAATAAATATATAGAAACAACACCTTGACTTGTATCATTTCAAATACCTGTGTCTTCCATCTAAGTGTTGTACACTAGAATAAGAATTTGGTTGCATTCCTGTATCTGCTAAGCAGTGTTTGTGTTAACTTTGATTTGTTGATTAAGTCAGTATTGGTTAGATATAATGCAGCAGGCCACTACCAAGCGAATCCTATATCCATCGGGTTTTAGAATATGCATCTTGGGGTTCCCCCAAAGCTCTCGGCTGCTTTTTGCATGCTGGCTGAAGAATTCAGGGAATTGAAGTCCACAGATTTTAAATTTGCCACAGGTTGGACACCCCTGCTTTATCAAATGCTTTGCAGAATAAAGACCCCCATTGTCTGTTGCATTCCCATGGCCAAATTTTATAACAAGATTATAAAATTGTAATGATAGAACTCTCAAATTATTCTTGAGAAACACTCCTGCCAAGCAAGATGTTTTAGCATTAAAGGCACTCAAGCGGACTGCTTAATGATTTGTTAAACATTTTGCCCCAGTATCAACATCGACCTGACCACATTCTTTTTTCGGCTCCTTTCTGAAGATAGGAATAACCCTGGATGGTACTCATAATAATCTGGCACTCTGCCTGCGCTCCATGATTTTCAGAGGTCGTGGAGAAGTCCCCAGCCTCTCAGAAACATGTGCCCATATCTCATAATTCCCACAGACAAGCTGTCAAACGTCTACCTAGAGAGAGATTAGTACATACCGTGTTTATCACATAAGGCCGGGCCTTATTTTTTTTTGAGCCCCGAAAACGGCTAGGCCGTCTGTAATTCCCCCCCTTTCATCCTCATCTAGAGCGCCCTGTGGGCAGCCTCACCACCAGCCGCTCCTAACGGGTGATCATGGCGAAGCGCAGAGAGCTCCTTACTCCCACCAAACACCTTTGCTGCAGACCCAAGACCTTCAGCACCTGCCGCTTTCCTTTCTGCCCATTCCGCCGCCATGTTTGGAGCTGCCACTTCCGTGTTTGGAGCTGCCGCCGCCGTTTGGAGCTGCCGCTTCCGTGTTTGGAGCTGCCGCCGTGTTTGGAGTGGTGGCGCTCCAAATGGCGGTGGTGCTCCAAACAGTGGCAGTGCTCCAAACGCGGAAGCGGCAGCTCCAAACACGGCAGCGGCAGCTCCAAACACGGAAGCGGCAGCTCCAAACATGGCGGCGGAATGGGCAGAAGGGAAAGCGGCAGGTGCCAAAGGTCTTGGGTCTGCAGCAAAGATGTTTGGTGGGAGTAGGGAGCTCTCTGCGCTTCGCCATGATCACCCGTTAGGAGCGGCTGGTGGTGAGGAATTGCTGCCCGCGGGGCACTCCTAACGGCAAGTCCCTCCACCCTTCCCCCCATTTTGCATGTTTTAAACTAGGCCTAAATTTGGGGGGGGGCTTAATTTGATTTTATGCCTAGAAAACATGCTGGGTCTTCCTATTGGTGGAGGCCGTAGTGTTGGAGAAACACGGTAGTTCTTAAGATTAAAGTAACATCTCTCTGGTCCTATACTAGAACTTTCTTACTTGGCTTCCTCCAGATGTGCAGGTTTTATTTTCCGGAATTCTGTGCAGTGGCCCTGCATCCCGGAAGTTGCCCATTAAGGCAATCAGTATCTCATGCGACCCCCCCCCAGCCATTTACTCATCCGAGAGGAAAGCTGTGACATGCGGATAGCAGTTGGATTCTCCAAAGACAGAATTAGTAAGTTTCAGCATCTATGTGAGGAGCAAAGGACAACCAAAGATTTAATTTGTCCCCTTGTATAACAATTCAGCACTAAAGTTATGCAAAGTTTTAATCCAGCTTCAACCTTTACAGAACGAAAGTAAGGGAGACAGAAGCCAGCTACTAAAACATCAGGACAAAGGAGATGAAAAGGAAATAGATTTTTTTTCAAAAAAATCCTAGTTCCAGAACAACATTAATGTGCTCCATTTGGTCCACTACAACAGTGATCCCCAACCTTTTTTATGCCGCGGCCCGGTATCCCCAACCTTTTTTATGGCACGGCCCGGTACCGGCATCAGCTGGGCGCCGCCATCTTTTTTTGATGAAAAAGTGCTTCCGGTGAGCTTTCTACCCGGAAAAGCTCACCGGAAGCACTTTTTCATCAAAACAAGATGGCGGCGCCCAGCAAACCAGCGGCCCGGTAGGACTTGTTCCACGGACCGGTACCGGTCCACGGACTGGTGGTTGGGGACCCCTGCACTACAAATTAATCTCGTTCCACACATTCAAGATGAAGGATTCCCACGGTGGGTCCTTCGATGAGCGTTGAGGTGTGTGCTTCTGCTGAAGCTCTTCCCACACCGCGAGCAGGTATACGGCTTCTCCCCCGTGTGCATCCTCTGATGGGAAGTGAGGCTGGAGCTGACCCGGAAGCTCTTTCCACACGCCATGCACTGGTAGGGTTTTTCCCCCGTGTGAATCCTCTGGTGGGTGTTGAGATCCGAGCTCCGTCGGAAGCTCATCTGGCAATCCAGGCACCTGTAAGGCTTCTCCCCCGTGTGGATCCTTTGGTGGTACGTGAGGCTGGTGCTCAAGCAGAAGCTGATCCCGCACTCCAAGCACTTGTAGGGTTTCTCCCCCGTGTGCGTCCTTTGGTGGTACGTGAGGTTCGTGCTCACGCAGAAGCTCTTCCCGCACTCCAGGCACTTGTAGGGTTTCTCCCCCGTGTGGATGCGCTGGTGGGAGGTGAGGCTCGTGCTGACCCGGAAACTCTTCCCACACTCCAGGCACTTGTAGGGTTTCTCCCCCGTGTGGATGCGCTGGTGAGAGATGAGGCTTGTGCTCAGGCTGAAGCCGATGCCACATTCCAAGCACTTGTACGGCTTCTCCCCGCGATGCGTCCTTTGATGGTAAGCCATGCTGGTGCTGGAACTGTAGCTCTTCCCGCACTCGGAGCACGTATAGGGTTTCTCCCCCGTGTGGCTCCTCTGGTGACAGGTGAGGCTGGTCATCGCATCGAAGCTCTTGCTACACTGGGAGCATTTATAGGGCTTCTCCTGCGTGTGCATCCGTCGATGGGCGCTGAGGTGTGCGTTCAAACTGAAACTCCTTCCACACTTCTCGCATTTAAATGGCTGCTCCTTGACGTAGCTGGTGCAGTGAGCGATGAGGTTGGAGTCCGAATGGAAACTTTTCTGGCGCTGAAGGAAGATATTCTTTTCATTCGCTTTGTTTTTCCCCACACTGGCAAACTGACCAGGGTGATTTTTGGCCAGAGAGGGAGAAGTTTTCCTTCTGTAAGGCTCCCTTTTTTCATCTCCCTTCTTTTCTGTGTCCAAAACACACGGCTCTTCTTTATTCTCCATCTCTGAATGGCTAGCTTCTGTAACGAAAACAGGAAAATAGTATTTTAAATTTGTCTAACACCTGAGCTTTTCACTGTTTTGTCTTTTTTATTTCGAAGACGAGGGGTCATTCTGTAATAATCCCACCATCAAGAATAACTTTTAAGATGTCACACAGTCAATCTTTTGAGTTTTTATATTTTGGCAGGCAAATTTTACAGTATCCTCTATTTTTTTTACTCTTAATACAAATAATGGAGCAGCAATTCTTCATTGTAGTATCACGTCAGAGTGTTTACAGCTTGGCTACTATTTGTGAGACAACCCAGGAACAAAACACAGGACACAGAGGCTTTGTTTTTTAACAGTGATTTATATACAAGGCCACTATATACATACATACATACACACGGTAGGTAAATACCAGACAAGCAAGCAATCTTCAACTCTACATGAGAACTACAGTGGAGATAGAAGGAGAGAGAAACCCTCACATGGCCTCCCTTATATAGACAGCTTCTTAAAGCGGCAGCACCCTGACTCATCCTCAGTACAGCAGCTGGTCAGCTATTAAATTTTCATTACCTTAACATATCATTTCTGGCCAATTCAGAAATGTCAGAAAAAGTGCTTCTTAAATCCCAATTTCTAGGATTTCATGATACTTCTTACTGTTTCTTAAGGGTTTCATAATCTAACATTGATAAATCACTGCATTGTGCTTTTAATCTTTGGGGCTGACCTTCAATTACTGTAACCAATGACTGCAGAATTGCATTAATAGGAAAAACAAACATTTTAATTAGCCATGCCACATAATCTTTTGATACACCCAAAGAAAAAAAATACAAAGTCATGAAGCAGATTGTGCAAAGCATTCTGATTCTTAAAACCTCAGAAAACGGGGAAACTTACCAATAGGCCTCATAACCCCACAGTTCTCTTCCATAACTAGACTGTTAGGAACACAAAATCCACATCTCTGCAACGCACGACTTTTTCAAAAGGCAGGTGACTGTAAAAAAAAAAAAAAAAGTTGCTCACCGGCTTTACATACAAAATACGCATCCGTATAAACATATGAAACGGCTTTTTTTTTTTAAAGAATAGAATACTTTATTGGCCAAGTGTGATTGGACACACAAGGAATTTGTCTTGGTGCAAATGCTCTCGGTGTCCATAAAAGATACATAAAAGAAAAGATCTTCGGGAGAAACACCAGTTTCTCTTCTGTACGATTTAAAGCAGGGGTCTCCAAGTTTGGCAACTTTAAGACTTGTGGAAAGTCTTAAATTTGGCTGAGGAATTCTGGAAGTCCACAAGTCTTTAAGAGTTGCCAAGCTTGGTTTAAGCCCTGGAGGAGGGAGCAACCTTGGCCCCTTTGAAGACTTGTGGACTTCAACTCCCAGAATTCCCCAGCCAAGCCATCCAGGCAGGGGAATTCTGGAAGTCCACAGGTCTTAAAAGGAGCCAAGATTGGGCAGGCCTGGTTTAAACCTCCGTGGGCCACATTCTTCAGAATTGCTATGCAAAGTGGAGACTGGAGGGTGGGTGGGTTTGCAGGCTTTTCTGGCCATGTTTCAAGGCCAAGCGCACCCCACTCTCCCATGCATCCCCACCCATACCAACCAAGACCATTACTGTTATTTTTAATTATTTTTATTTTATTTAAAATACATTCATCTTCTATTTAACGGAGTGTCGTCTGGATACAAATATCTTGTGCTCTAACAATTATATTTTACAACAACATATTCATTAGTTTAATAATATTCTCTATTCTTATCCTATTGGTATACAAGTTATTTCCTTTTTTATATATATAAATTTTTTATTAATTTTCCAAATTTAAAAAAAAAAACATAAAACAAAACTTTATACATTGTTATCAACATCAATACATCTTTTGCATTTCCTCACATTTTTCAGTATATGTATTTACTTATAAAAGGCAGAGAAGATTCAATTTATTATAGGGCCTGGTAGGCGTGGTTTAGAAATAAAAATAAAATAAAATAAAATGGCAATTAGGAAAAGAATGAGGGAATATGTAAATATGTAAATATACCATGGAGAAGATTGAGATGGAAGGATAAAAGATATTGATTTATAGTAAGAGTAAGATGTAATGGTAAAGGAACAAGTTATTTCCATTACTATAACATTCCTCTTCTTCTTAACGTATTCAATTCTATTAACGTATTTTTCTGTATTTCACTGGCCTAATTAATTAGTTCTAGCTTTCCTATTTTTGACTCTAGCCATGGATAAAAGAATCCCCACATCTGATAATGTTCAGTTTGTTCCTGCTCTTTCATTGCAAGCGTTAATCTGTTCATTTACTTGTACGACCCATTATTTTCCCTTGGAAAGAATTACAGGGCTGAGCTGAAAAGCCCCTTCCCCGCAAGGGCTGCAGCCTGGGGGTCTCCTCTACCTCCTGGGCCGCCTTCCTGGCTCGCCCCTTGCAGCCCCAGGCCACCCCCCCAAAAAGCACCGAGGCTCACCAGCTGCACGTCCTACACTGCAGAAGCGGCCGCGCAGGCGCCCTTCCCACCCACCCCCAAGCCATCTTCTGGGAGGAGCCTGCTTCCTAGAGAGGCCCCTCTCTTTCTCCTTCCTGTTTCCTTTTTTCTTTCCTTTCCTCTCTAGGAACTCAACCGTCGTTGATTTTAACCCATGGGCGGCCCTGCCGCAGCCCAGCCTCGCTCGCGCTTTCGAGGCAAGGCGCCTCCCTGCAGCAGGGATGGCGGGGTGGGGGGCTTTTTATTGCCCCCCCCTCCCGTGAGAAGCAGAAGATGCACCCGAGGGCGGGGAGGGCGTCCCGTTGCAACTTTGCACGTCTTTGCACTTTCCATGCATCGACCACGCCCGCCCAGCGGTGCCCAGATGTTTGTATCCTGGGCCGCTTTGCAAAAAAAAGGGGTGGAGGGTGGGGGGGGGCATCCCTCTTCGTGGCTTTGCAAGGGTCAAATGAAACGAGCCACCTTCCTAGAGAGGAAGCAAATTGGGGCGGGAAGGCGGAGGGACGGTGTGTGTGTGGGGGGGCGGGGGGTCCTTGCCTTGCAAGCGATCCTCCCCGCCCAGGGCTCTTCCTGCTCCGCCTTTTCCAACCGGAGGGGAGGGGGTAGGGGGGTGGGGAAAAAGGGGGGAGTGGCCTTTTTTTTCGCCCCCTGCTCGGAGCTTTGCATTGCAAGACCCCTTTGGGGGTGGGAGAGAGAATTGGGTGAGTTTCCAGCTTTGCAGAGAGGTGGGGAGGGGGTTTCTCCCAGCGCTGCAGAGACGATGGATGGTGGGGTTCCCCTCCCCCGGGAGGGGGAGATGCCCAGGCTCGAACTTAACCTTCCCCTCCCTCCCCCTTTACAAAGAAGCAAAACAAGAAGGGCAGGGCGGGCTCTGCTGGTGGGGAGGGGGCTTCGTCCTGCTGTCCTGCTTCCTTCCTTCTGCAGAGCCAAAAGAGGGAGGGGTAGGTCAGCATCCAGGTATTGTTCAACCAGAGAGAGAGAGAGAGAACAATGAAGGCAGGTAGGGCAGCCCTTCTCTTTCCCCTGGAGCATAAGGGGGGGCGCCCCCTTGAAAGGGGTGTTGCAAAACCCCCCGTGCCATTCCCCCCATCTCTCTCGTGCATGGGGTGGGTGGGTGGGTGGTCTTGAAGGAGCAAATGTCCCGTGGAAGGAACCCAAGAGGATGCCTGTTTTGTATGGGGTGGTGACGGATGGGCTGCCGTTCGTTTTTTGCAGCTCTTCTCTTGGATCCTGCAGAGAACTACAGGTAGTCCTCGACGTACGGCCGCAATCGAGTCCCAACATTTCTGTCGCTAAGCGAGACAGTTGTTAAGTGAGCTTTGCCCCCATTGGATGGCTATTCTTGTCACCTTTGTTAAGTGAATCATTGCATGGATTTAGTAACAGTCGTTAAGTGAACCTGGCCATTGGAGGTCGCAAAAAGTGACCACAGGACCCCCGGGACACTGCAACCACCATAAATATAAGCCAGTTGCCAAACCTCCAAATTTTGATCAGGTGACCGTGAGAATATTTGTAAGTGTGAAAAAGGGTCATAAAGTCACTTTTCACAGTGCCATTGTACTGGAACGATCGCTGAATCACCATCATCTTTTAATGACCCCGCTAATCCCTTGCCAGGTGGAGTCTGGGCAACTGAATGGAGCTAGTGGAGTGTTTACTGGCCGGATGCCCTCCCTGTTGTCAATGAGGAGTTTTGTTCTGCAGATATATTTTCATTGTGCAAATATCTGCCTCTACCTAGGATCGAACTCCCAGCCTCCTGATTGTGAGGTGAGAGCTCCACCTCTAGGCCACCACACCACTCCAGGAACAGTCACTAAATGAGTGTTTGTCAATGGAATGTAATCTTGTTGTAGAGGAAAAAGGGGATTGCAATCACTCTTCTGTGAAGGCAGATGGGAAGTTGTGTGGTTTTGGACCAAGGCTAGGTCTCGCCGCTAAAACCGGATCACATTTTTGGAGGATGCCGGCTGGGGAATTCTGGGAGTTGAAGTCCGCAAGTCTTAAGAGTTGCCAAGAGTAGAACAATCCCGTTTTTACAGGATAAAACGGTTGAGAGTTTGCCTTGTTGTCTCCCACTGCTGAGGGCCCCTTTACTCCACCCTCCAAAATCCTTGGGAATGAGTATTGTGTGACGTACCTAATAAATAAACGGAAAGATAAAAATTTGATGTCCAAAAGGGAGGGCTCATTCAGCAGGATTCCAGCAATCGCTCTAATTAAATCATGATTCTTGAGCCAAACTTCAAAAAACTTCAAAGGATTCATTAGAGACGACATCCTGGCACTGCCCTGTATGCAGCGAACTCTGGCATACATAATTTACAGTCACCTCTCCTCCCTGGGGGTCTCAGTAAACCAGATTCTCCAATTGAGCACCTTCACGGACTGGGTGTCATCTTTCATGCTCTCCAATTTAATATATTTGAGGGCAAAAACTGGTATTTTAGTTACAATCTTTTAAAGATAAGAGTTGGAATTGCTCTTCCAGATTTCCTTCCTAACCCCCCCCCCTTTTTTTTTTTTTAAACTACTAAAACAGGCATAGGAATGTTTTATGAGTTGACACATGGATTTTTCCCTCTGGTTCCTTTGATAGCCACCCAACCTTGGCTGGGAAAATGCTTCCCCTCCTGGAAGAAGAACCAACTTTGCAATGACACTCCACGGTCTTGACTTTACAGAACTTGGTAGCCATCATCAATCAGAGCCATCATTGCCCTGGTGACTGTAATTGGCATCCTAGGAAGGTCATCTGTCCTGTCGGGGGCCAAAAACATCTCAAGGATGGATGAGCAAAACGCAGCTGGTCCAGAAGCTGGAAGGGACCCTGAGACCATCAAGTCGGGGAGCAGTGGAGAAAACTGGGGGCTTCGCCCGGAGGTCCATCGTCAGTGTTTCCGGCAGGTCCACTACCAGGATGCCAAGGGGCCTCGGGAGGTCTGTAAGAAGCTCCACGACCTCTGCCATCTGTGGCTCAGGCCAGAGCAACACACCAAGAACCAGATTTTGGACATGCTCATCCTGGAGCAATTCCTGGCTGTCATTCCCCCGGAGATGCAGAAGTGGGTCCGGGAATGTGGAGCAGAGACCAGTTCCCAAGCTGTAGCCCTGGCTGAAATTTTCCTCTTGACCCAGGCTGAAGACAAGAAACAAGAAGAACAGCAGGTAAAAACCTTTGGTCCTGATCAGGGGTGGGATTCAGTGTTTTTTTTTTACTACTGGTTCTGTGAGCGTGGCGTGGCAGGCGTGGCATGGCAGGGGAAGGATTCTGCAAAATCTCCATTCCCTCCCTGCCCCACTAACCTGCTTTCCAGCTCCGTTCTCATGTGCAGGACAACCAAAGGAGACCCAGCCAATCAGCTGGGACTCGATGGGAGGCAGAGAATAGATGGGGTTGGCGGGGCCAGTCAGAGGTGGGATTGGCCGGTTCTCCAAACTACTCAAAGTTTCCGCTACCTGTTCTCCAGAACTGGTCAGAACCTGCTGAAGACCACCTGTGGCCCTGATCCAAGGGGCCGCCTTCTCAATTGCTGAGAACGTTCTGGTTCTCTTTTCCACGTGGGTACATGTGATGGGTGTCAGCGTTGGAAGCCAGATTGAGATCCGATGCTCCCACGCTGCCACATCTCTAGCCTGGGAAAGTGGGAGGGGGGAATTTATGGGAGTATATCTAGTTTAGACATAATAACATTCTTTTTCTGATTCAAGGTCAGGTGGTGTGGCGCCTAAGTGAGAGGAAGTCTCAACTTGGGATGGATGGTGACTGGGCCATGTGATGTGATTGATAGGTGCAGGGGATGGATTTTGTAGTTTTTACTTATTGTAAGGAAGCCCGGAAATTTCAGATTCGGGATTCCCCAGATGTGCCAGTTTAACTATCCAAATAAAAACAGAACTTTTGAGAAGTTATTGGGCAGAATGGAAGGAAGGTTGCTGGAACGCTGACAGTGGGGTTCCTAACCATGTCACCACCACCACCCTTTGTTCTACGTTTCAGTACACAGAATCGGGCCCCAACTTTCCCGAGCCCTTCAAGACTTCCTCAGATGCCCGACAGAGCGCTCTGCGAAGGTGGATGAAACATGAAGGGGATGCAACCTCCATCCTACAAGGTAAGGACAGACAGGTGGCTCAACGTGAAGGTGGGCAGGTAGTCCTCACATGACAACCGCAACTGAGCCCAACGTTTACGTTGTAGAGTGGAAACGTGCGTTGAGTTTGTCCCCATTTTTACGAGTTTTCTTGCGTGGTTGTTAGGCAAAGCCCCCCCCCCCCCCCCGTCAAGTGAGTGACACGGTTGTTAAGGGAGTCTGGCTTTGACATTGCTTTGTCAGAAAGTGATCCAGGGACACTACAACCGTCATAAAGACGAGTCCGTTGCCAAGCATCCAAGTTTTGATCACGTGACCCTAGGGATGCTGCATCGGTCATAAGTGTGAATAACGGTCATCAGTCGCTTTGTTTTCAGTGCCGTTCGAATGGTTACTAAATGAACTGCTTTGTAAGTCAAGGACTGCCTGGATCACCTTTGGTTTCTTCCAGGACATGAAATGATGTCAGTGATACGTGCCCAGTCAACCTCTCTTTGTGGCGGAGGAGACATAACAAACGCACAACAGACTCAGGTAGGGGAAAAGTGTGGTTGTTGTTGTGGGATGTGGGGAGAGAGAATTGCAGGTTGATTGCCTCCGTTCTTCGCTCAGCCTTCCCGCCAGTGGATTCAATTTTTTTTTACTACCGGTTGTGTGGACATGGCTTGGTGGGAGTAGCAGGGGAAGGTTACTGCAAAATCCCCGTTCCCTCCCCACCCCACTAGCCTGCTTTCCAGCTCCGTTCTTCTGCGCAGGGCAACCAAAGAAGACCCAGCCGATCAGCTCTGGGCGTGGCGTTCTGTGGGCGTGGCGTTCTGTGGGCGTGGCTTGGTGGGCGTGGCAGGGGAAGGTTACTGCAAAATCCCTATTCCCTCCCCACCCTCCTAACCTGCTTTCCAGCTCCGTTCTCCTGCGCAGGTCCACCAAAGAAGACCCAGCCAATCAGCTGGGACTCA